GCAACTAAAAGAAGCCATAAAGCCAACAGAGGAAGTCACTCAAAACAGAGGAGGGAGTTGCAGCGAAAGATAAAGCACTCCCGAGAGTGAAAATATAAAGAACAAGAAAGGACGCAAATTTTTGACTGAAATTATAATACCCACTGCAGATTTTTAGAGAATCGAATCACGAGTTTTTAGAGGAATTCCACTTTGGAATCGGATTAAATTTGGTAAAGTTATGGACTCTAGAAGACCAAGTTTGGGTCAACTTTAGAAAAGTCATCGGAAAATTAGAAATAACTAGCATGAAAATGGGTCAAAATTTTGATCATCGTTAAATTGAAAATTTTGAATGCAGATTTTTGGAGAATCCAATCACGAGTCTTAAGAGGTATGCCACTTTGGAATCGGATTAAATTTGGTAAAGTTATGGACTCTAGAAGACCAATTTTGGGTCACCTTTGGGCAACTCATCGGAAACTTCAAAATAACTAACATGAAAATGGGTCAAAAAGTCGGTCAACACTAAAATGAAAATTTTGAATGCAGATTTTTAGAGAATCGAATCACGAGTCTTTAGAGGTATGCCACTTTGGAATCGGATTAAATTTGGTAAAGTTATGGACTCTAAAAGACCAATTTTGGGTAACCTTTGGGTAACTCATCGGAAACTTCAAAATAACTAACATGAAAATGGGTCAAAAAGTCGGTCAACGCTAAAATGAAAATTTTGAATGCAGATTTTTAGAGAATCGAATCACGAGTCTTAAGAGGTATGCCACTTTGGAATCGGATTAAATTTGGTAAAGTTATAAACTCTAGAAGACCAATTTTGGGTAACCTTTGGGTAACTCATCGGAAACTTCGAAATAACTAACATGAAAATGGGTCAAAAAGTCGGTCAACGCTAAAATGAAAATTTTGAATGCAGATTTTTAGAGAATCGAATCACGAGTCTTTAGAGGTATGCCACTTTGGAATCGGATTAAATTTGGTAAAGTTATAAACTCTAGAAGACCAATTTTGGGTAACCTTTGGGTAACTCATCGGAAACTTCAAAATAACTAACATGAAAATGGGTCAAAAAGTCGGTCAACGCTAAAATGAAAATTTTGAATGCAGATTTTTAGAGAATCGAATCACGAGTCTTTAGAGGTATGCCACTTTGGAATCGGATTAAATTTGGTAAAGTTATGGACTCTAAAAGACCAATTTTGGGTAACCTTTGGGTAACTCATCGGAAACTTCAAAATAACTAACATGAAAATGGGTCAAAAAGTCGGTCAACGCTAAAATGAAAATTTTGAATGCAGATTTTTAGAGAATCGAATCACGAGTCTTTAGAGGTATGCCACTTTGGAATCGGATTAAATTTGGTAAAGTTATAAACTCTAGAAGACCAATTTTGGGTAACCTTTGGGTAACTCATCGGAAACTTCGAAATAACTAACATGAAAATGGGTCAAAAAGTCGGTCAACGCTAAAATGAAAATTTTGAATGCAGATTTTTAGAGAATCGAATCACGAGTCTTTAGAGGTATGCCACTTTGGAATCGGACTAAATTTGGTAAAGTTATGGACCCTCGAAGTCCAATTTTGGGTCAACGTTAAACAAGTCATCGGAAAATTAGAAATAACTAACATGAAAAAGGGTCAAAATTTTGATAAACATTAAATTGAAAAATTTGAATGCAGATTTTTAGAGAATCGAATCACGAGTCTTTAGAGGTATGCCACTTTGGAATCGGATTAAATTTGGTAAAGTTATGGACTCTAGAAGACCGATTTTGGGTCACCTTTGGGCAACTCATCGGAAACTTCAAAATAACTAACATGAAAATGGGTCAAAAAGTCGGTCAACGCTAAAATGAAAATTTTGAATGCAGATTTTTAGAGAATCGAATCACGAGTCTTTAGAGGTATGCCACTTTGGAATCGGATTAAATTTGGTAAAGTTATGGACTCTAAAAGACCAATTTTGGGTAACCTTTGGGTAACTCATCGGAAACTTCAAAATAACTAACATGAAAATGGGTCAAAAAATCGACTAATGTTAAAATGAAAATTTTAAATGCAGATTTTTGGAGAATCCGACCACAAGTCTTTAGAGGTATGTCACTTTGAAATCGGACTAAATTTGGAAAAGTTATGGACTGTGGAAGTCCATGTGTGGCTCACATTTTTACAACTCATCGGAAAACTAGAAATAACTAACATAAAAATGGGTCAAAATTTTGATCAACGTTAAATTGAAAAATTTAAATGCAGATTTTCAGAGAATCGAATCACGAGTCTTTAGAGGTATGCCACTTTGGAATCGGACTAAATTTGGTAAAGTTATGGACCCTCGAAGTCCAATTTTGTGTCAACGTTAAACAAGTCATCGGAAAATTAGAAATAACTAACATGAAAATGGGTCAAAAAGTCGGTCAACACTAAAATGAAAATTTTGAATGCAGATTTTTAGAGAATCGAATCACGAGTCTTAAGAGGTATGCCACTTTAGAATCGACTTAAATTTGGTAAAGGTATGGGATACCAATCTTGAAGACCAATTTTGAAGCACTCTTTTACAAGACATCGGAAAATTAGAAATATTGTTTTAACCCCTAGTAGTAAAGGATATTTTCAATGATTTCTTTAGCTCCTATGGTCCGTATCAAATGTACCTTTAAAGAAATACAAGACACGTTACATTTATTTTATTAATTTTAGCAAGCCCAGGCAAACACAAAACAACAAAAAAGGTTAAAACACACAGCATTTATCCAAAAAGTTGGCCGTGCGAACAGGAAAAGCACATTAAAATAACACAGTGTATCCAAATTACAGCGAAACCATATTCCCAACCTTTGGCAAAAAATGTTCGGAGACCAGACACGACAAAAAATGGAAATAAGTTTTAATGTAAAACAATTTTCCAATGAAAACCCTCGGTCTCCATTTGTGTTTTACCGTTTGCCTTTTGCACTTTAAAACAGCATTTTTTTGGCTAAAATTTAGTGGCACACAGAAAAAAATGCAGCTGCACTTAATTTAATTCAAAGAACAGAACAAGAATTAAATAAAAAGGAAGAGAGCGAAATTATAAAAGCCACCATCAGTAATGAGAGCGCTATCACAGATCTTCCCAGTACTTTTTATCTTATTTTGTTTTCTTCTTTCGCTTTCTCTCTCATTTCGTTTTCTCTTTTCCTGTGCATCGGAAAGCAAGTAAGGCTGCTCCGCGTTAGAAAATCATTTAAAATAAATTTCACAGCGTTTTGGTTAGTTAAATGTGTAAATAATATTAAAAAATTAATAAATAATAGGATCGCCGGCCAATTTAATGAGTTCCGTTTAATATTGCGGGCGTAAACGTATAAAATCTGTGTTTTTTTAGGAAGTAAAATAGGTATGTGTGTTTCCCTCACACATTTACCGGTGCGAAGGTAAGTACATAAGTGTGCGTGCAGCATTCACCTTGTGTTTTTTTTTCTGTTAAATAATGAGCTTCTATTTTTTAATATTTTGTTGTGTGACTAAAGTAAATTTAAAATAAAATAATAATTTAATGGTTAAATATTTTAATATATTTGCATTTTCATTTTGCTTAGTGTTTTAAGTACACAAACAATTTATTATATCTCTTATATCAAAATGTTCTTTAAAAATTGTTGGATATAAGATTATGCATATGTACATACTATAAACTTCTGATATTAAGATCTGAGTCTCTGAGGTCATAAAATGAATGTAGCAAATAATGTTGGATTCCCATTCTTCTGTGCATGAGTTTGGCTGTCACTGTTACAAAACATTTTATGGACTCACCCCACCCCTATTTGAATATACATATGTATATGTGTGTGTATTTGAGGGAACAGTTACCTTCAAATTTAGCATTCCAAGCAGGCAAATGAACTCACTTGAATAATCGCCACACTGGGAGTTATCTCGCACTTTAAATACGTTGGCGAATTTTAATGAAAACGTCCTTTCAACGCAAGATAAATTATTCAAAAGTTTTCCACTGCCGCAGAGCAGAAGATTTTCACCGTCTCTTTTATTGTTGTTGTTGTTGTTATAATTTTGTTGTTCTTGTCGCCCAGCATTTTCGCATTTTATTTGTGTTGCCAGCCATTCCTATTTTTCACCTTTCCGAGTCCGGTTCCACACTCTTTTTTTAATTTTTGCATTGTTTGCTGGGTATTTCAGTTGCAGGCAACTCTGGACAGGCCGCGCACCCTTTTTTTCACCCTTTTCCGCCCACTTCCTGGCTTCCTTGTTTTGTTTGTCGGCCTTCTTTCAAGTGCGAAAAACTCTCGGATGAGATTCATTCACTGATTTTCGCACCTCGATATCGCCGTCTCGTTCTTCGCGGCTATCGTGCTCTCTTTTTAGCTGGTTGTCAGTTTGACAGGAATGGCCGGCACTGTACTTTTATCTTCTTTTTTTTGCATGTACTGTACTTTTCCGTTCTATTTTTTTGCAAATTCTTTTGCGAATCGGGCTTCAAAACTTGAATTGTTCCTTAACACAATTCTTAAGCTTCGACAGATGGTTATTTATACAAGCACTTGTATTTTAAATTGATTTGTCTATAAAATAAATTTAAATTTAAGCGCTGAATTTCAGAAATATTTTCTATCCTAAATATTTTGTTTTTTCATTACTTATTTATTTTATTTTCCTACTGCAGCAAATGTGTATTAGTTTGTAAAAAGATATATTCACTGAAGTTTTGTTGTCATACCAACTTGTCGGAGTGCAATCGTTAAATGCTTTTGCATACACCTTTGCCTGTTATCCTTTTTAATTTAAAATATTTATATTTTAAATAACCCGAATGGTATGAAATCTCCTGCTGTGTGCAACGTGCGATTACAACCGCAATGGTTTTCGGTTGCTGTTGCGCCACTAAAAAACGCTCCCACTTTATCGCACACACAGACTTTCCACAGGATTTGACCATTTTTATGTGGGGACTACCAAAACGAAACTGGAATTTAAATAATGCCAATAAAAACAACGAAAGCTTTTCTTCTCGCATATAATCTTATTTGGTATGCTACCAGAATTTGGGTCATTTACTGATTGAAAAAAACGGAAAGAGAAGTACAATTTTTTGGGTCGAATTTGGGATTAGTTGAGACGGAAATGTCTAGCCAATATAACTAAGGATTTTTAAGCAATGACCCTTACAAATTACATGAGGCGTTCAAAGTTATTTTGGTTCTGAATATAAATCGCAATCGGATCGGTATACTGCTTCAATGCTGATTGATACTCCTGGGATTTTGGTCTGGCTTTGCGTTTCCTGCATGGTTTCATTTTCCGGTTTCGTTTCCGGTTCCACTTGGAATTCCAACTCCGACGGCAAATCTATTTTAGTGATCACCGTTTCTTGGGCCACTTTTCTTACCGCCTCCTTGACCAAATTTAAAACTGCCTCTTTCATCGATTGCAGTACTTCTTTGGTAATTGGAACTTGCAAATCCAAAATTGATTGCTGGAGTTCTTTTATGCGTCTCATTTTGGTTGCCTTCATTGATTCCCTAGTTACTCCTTCACTTGTTTCTGGCCTTTCTTCGGGCTCTAATGGTATGTATTCTGTAGCCTTACAGTGGTGTAGAAAATTAGTTTCGGCTTTCCCTTTACTTAACTTATTATCATTTGGGGTCAAGTCCTCGCCTCCAAAGGATCTTTCAGGAATTGCTGCATCATCACATTTTTCAAGATTATTTTCATAATTTTCTTGAAAGCTCTCTTTCACACTTATATGACTAGTTTCAAAATTACTCTGTCTTTTCTTGCCCACTTTTTTGTCATCTTTCTTGAAACATTTAGAACCTTCTTCAGTTTTGTGATTACGACGGCCGTGTTCTTTCTTGTGGCGATTTTCTTGATCATCATGTTGTCCAGTGTAAAATGAATTTTCTTGACCCATTTCATTCGTATATCTCAGACCTCTTTTGTGGGATTCACCTCGATTCGCAGAAGAACCTCTTTGATATGCTTTGACAGCCGGTACATATTTACTCTTCGACCTTTCCCTCGATCTCTCGATGATTCTATAAGCCCCAGACTTGGCCTTGTAATTGCCCAACTCTGGATGAGTGGCCAGTGGAACTGCTATCGTGGGATTCGACAGGGGCTTTCGGTTGAGGGACAGTTTGCCGTTGGCGTCCCGATTAAGATCCATTTTATTACGCGGCATTCTGGAACCGGGACCATTATAGGTCTCAAATAAATGTCGGGAACTGGGAATCTGTAAGGAATAGACCACAGGATCCTCTTGTATGATCAATTCCAGTTGAATGCCCGATGAATCATCGTCATTCAACAGCGCCATAGCCTCTTCCTTTCGGATCAACATGAAATCCGTTTCGCAGGTCAAGAAATCATTGGGATTCTGCGAATGAGTGTAGTTCCTTGTTTTCCGGATAACACTGCGCGATTGCAAGTAGGAACTATCAAAGATGGTCAGCGTGTAGAAAATTCGCTTTGCGGTTACCGGCGCAACCAACCACATCACATATATTGTGGCATCCGACTCGCTGATCTCCGCCAGTTCAGTGGCGAGTTCTTTATCGGGCAGAAGGCAGTACCAAGTGGTCTTGCAGATCATAAGGACCAAAGTCAAATGGTTTTCGTAGGGGCGTCTATCGTGTAAGAGTCCGGCATTGGGAAAGCTTAGCATCCTGCGGACTGGAAGAGATCGGGCCTTATTCTCGAGTCCGCCATATAGGAGCACGGCCATGGCCTCGGGGACTCCCTTCTGGAAATTATCCGGGTCAAAGGTCAAGCGTAGTGCCTGCTTTCCAAAGATAATGGCCACCAATGTATGCGGATCACAGGAGTGCTTATGGAGAAGGTGGACGAGCAGGCTTGAGGGAAAAATGATTTGTTCGCAGTCGCCCAGAGGACATTTTCCCGGCGCTCTGGATAATTGACCCAAAATCAGCTGACGATGGCGTTTTTCCTCCTCCTCTCCCTGTCTTCTTCTCAAATCGCTTTTTTGCTTTTTCTCCTTTTGCTTTCTGCTTTTTACCTTTGTCTCACTCATTATTTTCAAAATTTTGATTGGTTTTTATACAAAATAAATTGTAAAATTTGTTGTACTTATAAACATAAAAAAAATATTCATGTGTTGGAAAAAAGTACGTGCTAGTGTATTGGCTTCCGAAAAACAACTGATTGGGGGCTCCAAAATTGCCAGGCAAGTCATTCTGTACAGCTTGACAGCTCTTAACTGGCCAACTTGGCCAGCATAAATGACCATACGATCTCCATAAGTCCCCCAATCGATATGAAAAACAAGGAAAACTTGAAAACTATCTTTTTCACGGAGTTGAACTAACGAGCAGCAAGCAACTTTTCCCCCACTTTTTTCTGTGCAAAAAATGTTTGAAAACAGGGTGGCAATGCCTGTCATATATCCGAGTATTTTTGATTAAGCATTCCCCAGATATGAATTAAATCAATAACTTTTCGGCTGGCCAAAAACAAATTGAATTCAAAAGTTTGGGGCCATAAAACAAAGGCACAAACTTTGAATACAACAGGCTTCTTTGATCGACTTGTGTTTACCCAATAACCATCGAATTATTAGAAAACAAATTTATAGAAAAAGACTTGCGATACGCATAGGTTGAAATTTAAAAGAATTGGGTGTTGGAAAAAACTCGAAAAGTGTTGCCTAATAAATGAACGTTTTTATCCACTCTTTCCTGTTGAAAAAAAACGCGGCATTCTCAGTGCGAATCCACTAAAAATTAGGGATTACCTGCCGCTCCTAAAAGGGTTTCCCACTGACCCCCTCAATAAGCGTAATGAAACGTAATTTGAATGGCACTTAAGTGGCTTTCGGGTCAGGTGAGTGTGTGTTTGCAGGTGGAATATATGTATATAAATGGTTAAAGGGATATGCTTTCGGGGGTGTGAGACGGGGCCAATCGTTCGAAAATTGAGCTGCCCACTGGCCAAAATTAACTGCTCCACCGTACGGTAAGCCCGTAGGCGAAGGACACAGGGAGAAGTGGGCGTGGCCGGCAAGAAGTAAAGGCAAAGTCGTGTCCGATTTATGGCCCGGATAATGCAGGCGACTTACGAACGTTAAAATTATGCAGCCACTGCATTAAAAAGCGCTGAAAGTGTTGCACGACAAATGGGCCGGGAGCTGGCCAAAAACCCCGAGGCATTAAACGTCGAACAGATGGCATCAATTTGTACCGAATCGAGCAAACCGTAAAAGAAGTTGCGGAAAATCCTCGGGGAAAGCGAAAGAAAAGAAAGCCACAGGGTGGAAAATGGCGTCGAGAAAAGGCTTTAAGCCAAAAAAATCGGATTCAATTCTTTTTGGGTAAAAGTACTTCGATGTCAAGAAAAACATTTTAAATTCATCTGCTGTACCAGTATATTAAATATTATGTATTGTTGAAATCCATAAACACAAAAATCATACCAAACACTTCAAAGAGAAAACAATAAATATAACTTGTATAATTCAAATCAATAATAAGACCCAAGTTAAAAAAAGACGTTCTAAAACGTCTCATCAAATATTTACCTAATTTCAGAACCCTAATAAATCTTAATTGCTTGGAATAACTTAATACGAATTTTTGGTTGAAGGAACTGAACTGGTTTTCGGTGGCCAGTAAGCTCACTTCGAACAATTACTTAGTGGGCATGCAGCATCCATTCCACTCGAATCCTTTGGCCATGAATAAGCCGAGCACTCAAACACTCACTTGACACTCACACTCACCCTCGTACTCGTATTCGAATAGAAATGGGCAAACAACAAATGGCCGAAATGCGATGCTGCCTCTCCCCATCTCGCTCTCTCCCTTGGCAGGACATTCGGACGGACAAGGATACGGATATGGACAAGAATACGGACATGGACTCCGGGCCGGATCCGGGTCGACCCATTCCGGCCATGTTGTAATGTAATGTAATGCGCGTGCTGCCAGCTGAAATAAAGAAAATGAAGCGTCACTCGCAACGGGGTCGCAGGGGGTCAAAGTTGAGTTCGTTTAAGGGGCGGGGCAAGGGGCCGTGGCAGGGTCAGACAGGATGTTGGCAACAAAAGCCAAAAGTGGCACCGCGTAAAAATAAAACAACAAGCCGGCTCTTCAGCGGAACATTCGAAGCCCAAGAATCGAAAGCATCGATGGTTTGGTAATATTGGTGAGGTCAGTGAGTACTGATCCCCCCCACCCCCCACCACCCTACTCCTCGAAAATTTCCCGGCACTTTTCCTCATATATGTGTGTACGAATACAAGTGCAGTTGTGTGAATGAGAGTGCACTTGTGTTCGTGCGTGTGTGTGCTCAACACGTTCAATATTTTATGGTGTCGCTTACAGAAAATGGGAGCCAAGCAAACAGATACCGAGAATCGAAAAGAGCATAAGTAGTACACGTAGAGAATTACTGTGGATTTCCTCCGCAAAAAAAGTTTACCATTTGTTCGATTTCATGAAGGTATAAAGGTATGAGACTTTTTAGACATTTAACGCCGTAAATTGTAATGGAAAACTAATTTTAATTTATTTTAACGAAGAATTAGGTTGATTTTGAATCGAATTGTAAGAGCACAAAAAAATATATAAATATATAGCAACGTAGAAATCCTCAAATTACGAAATTAATATGGAAATCGAGTAAATATGGAAAAATAAGCCAAATAAAACAGAACTAGAGATGAGCTAGCAATAAAAATCCGGAGGGATTCTGCTTCGAATATTAACATAACATCCCCAAAATTCAAAAGAAAATTGTCATTTAAAACCTATTTTTTTGGTTTATAAATCTAAAGTGCTTTCGTTAACATTTTCCTGACTTATTTTCAAAGCTCGTGTCACGAGCTCATATCCAAAATAAAATTCAGCTGACTGCGGAGTTTTGAAACAGGTGAGAGGCTTTTTTTTTGTATTTGGGTTTTTGGTTGGGAGAAGGAAAGACTTGGCCTTCGGTCAATTGAAACGGTTCAAAGGGTGTTTGGCCTGCGGTCTTCAGCCCTCACTCTCATTCTCCGCTTTCACGATTTTTCCTTCTTTTTTTCATCGACGCGGCCATATAAATTTCACTCTGGCAAATGGTTTTTATTGGCAGCCAGCAACTGAAGGCTCAAAAAGGTTAAATTTGGAAAATTGGTACGTGATTGGATTCAAAGCGCAAAATAAGTGCGTCAGTGGGTTTTCCACTGCCCCTCGGCCTCTTTTCACTTATGGGAATGAAAACATACTTTTTCTTCTTTTTTTGGCACGCCACTCGCCACGATTTGTAATAAGAATGTGTTTTTTATATATTTTTGTGGTCGAGTTGTGTGAAAAACTGGAACTTCTGCCAAGCCACGATGATGATGATGGCAGGCATCCAATATATGTATACATATGGCGGCGATATCTGGCTGCTGGCATATACAGACAACCCATAAGTTTAAGTATTTGTGGTCTTGTGTTTGATTGCCGGCCATAAAACGGTCATTTGTTTGTTGGCCAGTTTGTGACTGTGAACCGAAACCAAAACCGAAATCGAACTGAAGCGAACTGAACTGAACTGCCAACTAATAACTGGCCATTGGGTTTTGTTCACTCCACCGAGCCAACGTGGCGTATGAGTAATATTTGAATAGCTCCCCACAAAAGTTGGAAATGCTGTTTGTCGGCAACAGATGGGAAACTGTAACTGAAACCCCAAATTAGGTTTAGCATTCTGAAACGGCAACTGAAAATGTAGTTTTAATATCATCATTCACAGTCATGGGCAAAGCAGCTAAACTAAACCCATAAATATATTTATTATTGAGCTGAGACTGTAGGTAAAATACAAATTTTTTTCAATTTTAAGGATTTTTCTTGATCAATGTGAAAGGTTAAAAAAGCGAAATAAAGCCTAACTAAATAACGCCCAAACTGCATTATTAAAAAACTTTTTCAAAATATATATAAATTATAATCCAAAACGTTTCATAATCTATAGGCTGAGGTTATTTGCCTAAAATACGTTTTTTTCCCAAAAACCAGGAAAGTTGAAGAAATACACAAGCGAAATCAAATTGGTAAAATATTTGCCAAAAATACTGGCAGTCCATCAATCGGGGGATAAGCTCGAAATCCTCTCGAAAAATGACCATGGCCATTATGGCGGAATTTATATACGCACTGAACTGAACCGATAATCGGACTTACGTCGGCTTTGACCGTAGCCATTTGTCCGGAATTGATAAACACCGTAAAAATAAAAGCAGAAACTCATTGCCCATCGATGATTCATTTCACTTACCAATCAATATAATACGACAAACAATTTTATTGTTTTTAATTAAAAAGTCATCGCAATATTGTTGCTGGTGGCATTTCCATAAACTTATTTGTCCCAGAATTGTACGTATATATGTATCGCTTATGGCACATGACAATTTACAGATTTATCTGTCACAATTTTCCTGCCTTTATTTTGTAACTGTTGTTGTCATAATTAATTGGCATTTATTATGCGCTGCAAAGGCAATAAACAAAACAAAAACAAAAAAAAAACCAACCAGGAAATTTGTGATGCCTGAATTATGGTAACGGAGATCTGGCCATGTTTTCCATTCCCATCGAAGTTGATGGCTTTTAATCACTTAATTGCAGCTAATTAGAACCGCAAATTCAATGAGCTCTGCTGACAATATCGGTTTCGGTTTTCAAATCAATTCGAGCTGGGTTTAATGAAGAACCTGGAGCTCTATTTAGATGGATACATTATGAATCATATTCTCAAGTGCCACGAGGCACTTTCCCCGGGCACATCATTAAATCACCGCAAGAGTTCAGAAATGCATTTCATTTGAAAATCATGACCCGACCAACAAGAACAACCACTGCCTGGCACTCTCGACATTACAAATTACAGGTTGCCGGCTGTCAGAGAAAATCGTGGAGAAAATAGGGCCAGGGGTCCGGGGTCAGGGGTCAGAAAAAAATATGGCAAACTTTGACGAGTCTAGTTAAGGCAGCCAACCCAGCGGAAAGATGAGTGTATTAAGATAGCTTTAGTAAATATATTAAATGGGACAAAATAAAAAAAATATATAAAATACAAAATACAAAATTTAACAACTATTGTACCTCACATGTTTGAGAAAATAACACTATATACCTTACCACTATACTCCTACATTATAATTGAATATACTATTTATATTTCAGTCTATTATATATCAAAATTAAAAATTATTTTGGTAACTGCCACTTGTAACATTAAGACGTACAGTTTACCCAACCTAATTTCACTTCAAGAACAGGGTATCTAGATAACTGCTTAAGCAATCGCGTTTTGAGTTTGCGGCCTGGGGATAAGGGGACGGGGTTCTCCATAAAGGAAGCCTCTTCAATCCACAATGTCAGCCATTTATCATCTGCCAGAGCTCAGTTTACTGACTGACTGACTGATTGAGTGACTGAATAACTGACTGACTGAATGACTGGAAGTTGGGAGAGGGCAAAAGGCAAACCAAAATTGGCATTATGAAAGCCCTGCAAAATAAGTGAGCTTAGCCAAGGGGGTCAGGTGATATCTTTTATCGTATATTTTTTACCATGTGAAAATAAGTCTTACTTACCTAAGGTGAGTCAACTAAAATCGTTACTTCAGATCCAAGTTTAACGGGAAGTTCTGAAAAAAATAATGGATAAAGAATTGTAAGTAAATATAAACAGCTAACTTAAACAATAATTGTGTTAACTCTATTTAAAGCAAGACATTTGTAAACAACCATTCGGACCAGAATTCCATTTATTTTTCACTTTTTATTCGATTTTCATATTTAGATAGAAACATTTTTCTTTATCTAGCATTTTCTTTGTCTTTGTCTTAGTAGCGTTAATTCTTGTTAAGTTCTTGATGATTTTTTTCGCTTTTTGTTTTAACTGCTCATTATTCTCGGGTTTTTCGTTGGCGATTTACATTTTGTTTGGCCGCCATTCGCTGATAAATTTAAGCGCCCTGGTAATGCATAAATTAATGTTAAGTAACAGCTGACCAGCTGGTCAAAAGCAGCTGACACTGTTCACACACTGCGAAAAATGGGTGCCAGGGGAATTCAGAGGGAGCTGAAAAGTGCAACCGAATCAGATCGAATCAATAAGCTTGCTCATTATCCAACCTCCTGTTTTGCTTGCCTAACACATTTACACTAGAAGGTATTACAGTGTTTAACAGCAGATTGTGAAATTGAATAGCTTAAATATAAGTATATAAAATATAAGTATATATAAATAATGATTAATAAAAATATAGTTTGATTCAAGCTATTTTAAATTAATAATTTTATAAAAAAGTAAATCTAAATAACTCTCAAACAAAAAATACAAGATAAAAGTACAAGATAAAATCAATCATCATCAGGAACATTTAAGGCATTCACATCACTCGAAAAATCGGTTATTTTAGTATATAAATGGATTTTAAATTAGTTCTTATTTTTCCAAGTGCAACGTCAATTATAATTTACTGGACGATGCGTGCGAGTCTGTTTTTTCCGCTTCATATGCTTCAGGGGTCAATTTGGTGGATGCATTCAGCCATTGGGCTCATTACGGGCCCTCTAAAATGCATTTCCATCACTCTCCATCTGACAATTTGACATTGTTTGGAGTGGAGGCTGAGCACTATGTACGTTTCACCACAGCACCGAAATTTCCGTTTTCTGCTCTCCTAAATTGTAATTGAATGTGCTGGGAAATCGGTCGAAATTAATGCCATGTTTTAGCCCGCACTTCCTGTCTTTTGTGAACCAATCAGCCAAAGCATTTCACCAAAAATTTGGTAGTTTGGCAAAAGGGGAGAATTTCATCTTTGCTGCGGCAAGTTGCCACTTTGAACTCGGTTTAGGAGCCTTTTGTGGCTCTTAGTCTGCTAATTAACTGCAAATTGCTTTTGCCTTTCAGGCGAAATCCCCTTGCCCAAAAGAAAAAAAAACTGAAGTGTTCAATTTCGTTTGAACTGGTCCTTTTTGGTTCCTCCTTTAATCGGTTGCCATGACAATTTCAAATTAAAATCAAATTTTGAGGCACCAAATATTTTTATATCCGCTTCTGCGGACGGAGAAAAAAAAACAGAAAATGTCCACTGATTGCCGATTTCTTGTTGCTGATCAATTAAGTCTAATGGCATGTGATTGCTGTTGTTTTTCTGCCTGCTTCACTTAGTTTTAATTGGTGTTCGTTTGGCCAGAGATCGTAGGATGTAGCTGGCATTGTTTCGGTTTGTTTCGATTGTTGCAGGTGAAAAATGCATTGCATTGTGTAGTTGTTTCAGAAAATCTCTTTTTTGTTACTAATTTCCAGTGGTTTTCTATTCTGTTTTCGCTGGCGGGAAATATTCTTTTGTTATTTCTCTACTTGTAAATATTTTATATTTTTAGCTGAGTTCTGCTAATTAATACTATTCGTACTTTTAATTCAGTTGATGTTGTATTTTTCCTGGAATTATTGGTGTGGGAAAATATCTCTATGTTTGGCTACTGTAAAAGTGCGCTGTTTTTGTTAATGATTTGGAAATGTTTCTCAGACTTTTCTTTGCCTCTAATGCCAGTTAATGCCACTTAATTAATAACATCAAGTTTTGTTGCTGTTTGCCATTCAAATTTCACTTCGTACTCGCACACTTTTTGCAGCCACCATTTGTTTCAAGTTGTAATTGCATTTGCTGGGCCATTAAAGTCTTAACAGATTAAATAAATAAATAACTAAGGAGGTCTGCAATTCCATTACTTCAAAACGAAGGGAATACCAAGGAGAATGGAATGCGAGTGTGAGTGGTATTTGAAAGGCAGTGCATGTACGTACATTTTACGCTTACATAACTCAAATAGAAATTCGAAACTCGGCCAAAAGTCGAAAACTGAGAAATTTGCATACAAAAGTATCTGATGCCGGGGAAATTCTTTGACTTTAGCATCCTTTGGCCACTGAATGCATGCCAAGCTGAGAGAAAAAGAATAGTAAACGACATGGTTTTATATTTTTTTTTTGTGTTCCTAAGGGGGTACCCCAATACCTCAGCCCTTCCAAAGTCCTTCCTTACCCGTTTCTCCATCCCTTCTTTCGACCATAACAATTGCAGCTGGCAAAAGATGAAGGCAAGTCTGGAATACTATTAAATACACAGGGGAAGCCACTTTTAACCCAAATCTGCGGGCATAAAAGCCAGCCCACCGACCACGGTAAGGGTTAAAGGTTGGGGGTAAGGGGTAAGGGGTAAGGGCTTGGGGGCGCAGTGCCCAGAGGAGCCAGGGGAATCAGTGGAAACAGAGGACCAGGCCACACATGAGTACAAATAATGCAGCGATGGTGGCCACGTGGAGTCTTGCCAAAGGGGCAATCGTGGCTTAACTCGGGCTGTGTTTGCTGCTGACGAGGGGAGTGCTGTTCGCAGGGTTTAAGACAGGGACTTACTGGCAGCAGCGACACTTTTCCGACACTGCCAGCCAGGCAGGCGTCAGCTAAGCACCACGTTGATATGAATGTTACGCACTGTAGTTCAGAAATTCAAGAAACAATCAAGAATGGTTCACCACATTTACTCAAGTTACAACAAAAAGTTTACAGGCGGTATTGCTTAATTCATTTATTTATCTTGGATATTATATAATATCTTAAAATGTATCTGAGATGACCACGATAAGATTTTTAAGCCATCAACCTTGCTAAAAATATATTTTTTTAATGCTGATCATGCTTAGAATTTCTGTATTATATTTTCAGTGGTATTCAAATCATGCTTTGAATTTCTGTATTATATTTTCAGTGATATTCAAATTAATTTCAGCAGTTTATTGTCTTCAAATTAGATTGAATATTCTACACCACTGTGCAGTAAGCAACTGGATTTTGAGGCACTTTGGCATTCGTTTCAGTTGCAGATGGAGATTGCATATTGCAGATTGCTCGTGTGGCAGCGTCGTGATTAAGCCGCAATTTTTATACAATATTTGCATGTGAGTGAGGGGGGTTAGTGGGCGTGGCGGGAGGGGCGCGTTGCTATTTTGGCCACATAATGACATTCGCTTCCTCGCCAGTCGTATAATGCAGATATCACAATATACGGATTATTAGGCATTATGCATATGTCCTTTTTCGACGCCTCTGTCTTTTCACTCGTTTCATGCTCCGTCTGCCTGTTATTGTGTGCTAACAATTTCTATTCATAAGAGTGTGTGTGTGTTAGTGCATGTGTGTGTGTGTGTGTGTGTGAATGTGGCATGCAAATTTATTGTGTACTTTTGCCGCCAAGTTGCGGCATGTCAAGCCCCCCATCACCGAGAACCCCCTTTTCAACAGCAAAACTGAGCTTTTGATTTCGGATTTGCATTTGTGAGAAGGAGGATGGTAATAGTGATTGGGGAGAGGGGGGAGGTATTGGGATTTGGGTGCCAAGGTCTGCGAATGTGTCATTAGCATCGCATTCAGCCAGAGCATAATCGCTACAAAGAGCAATGCATCGTGGCTTAATGCAATAGTTTAAAAAGGATGGAATGTTTTTAGACCATTTTTTTGAGAATATGTAGAGTAAAGCTACTTGCAATATTCATTTCGAGTTTTGGATATAACTGTTATCAAAAGCACCTTTAAAGTAAAATTCTTCAAACATCTAAGAATTCTTGCAGTTTATTTAATAAAGTACTAAAGTTTCCCATTAATTCTTAAAATTTCTTTAATAAAACTTTATTAAATAAAATTTTGTACACCTTGTATTTAAATGTAGTCCAATTCCCACAATATTAATTGTTGCTTAAGTGCAATCTGGAAATTTCCGACTTCAATTTTATTTGGAACTTCCCTTAGGATTTGTTTTTGCATCTTTTTACGTTTGCTTTTCTCATTTCTCATTCGTCTAAGCGTCCTTAACCTAATGATTAACTACTGCCTTTGTCATTTGTTTTTGGACTATTTTTATTTAATTTGTTTTGGAGGCCTCGCTGCGTATACGCAATGCCAGCACTCACTTTGTTTCAATATGCATGAAGCCCCACTTCCCTTTTTTTTACCCATTTTCTCTCGCACACACACACACACACATGCAGGCAAAAACACACTCACACAGACAGTGACAAACATGTACAATCGCAGACAAACACACGCAGACACAGACACCGACCAATACACATATACATATATGAGCTCGGGCTCAAAGTCACTTAACCAAATAAATTTTTGCAAGGAGAAGGGGAAAAAAAGGAACGGGGGGCGAGAAAAACGCGGCAGACAGGGGGCGTGGCTGCCGCCGTCGCTGCTGTTGTTGTTGTTGTTTCTCAAGTATTTATTTTGCTTGAGTGCGCTACAGTTTTTAAGTTTGTTTGCACTGAAAACTCAAGGCACAACTTGCAAATATTCATTACAAACAAACAAACACAGGGGCGGCGGGCAAAAAAGGAAACTTCCGAGGGCCTTCAGGGGGTTGGAACTATGTGGGGCCTCCAGGGGGGGGAAGGGGCTTACGGGGAATTGAAGCCAGAAGGAAGTAGTCTCGCCTTGCTTTCTCTCGACAGCGCGAACTTAATGTGATTAAAATTGTATGGCTGTCGTTGGCTGTTTGTGTTGGTATGAGAAAAAGCACAGAAACGGAGCTCCTTTCTACCGCTTTCTCCACATTTTCCCAAGGAATTTTTTTTA